AGTTTCTTCCTCCTGGCCCTCATACACTACGGATGCTACCAAGGCTCCAAAGAAGAAGAAGAGCCTTCAACCCAAGCCTGGGGAGTAAGGATGTGTAACATTGATTGACGTAAACCCTCTAGAGACCTCTGGAGTGTGCTGAACTAGTAAGAGGAAACTCGTATAGTCTGATCAGATGGCCTGAAAGGAACAGAGTCCTCCATGATGGGTGGATTGGTTGGGATCCTTGGAAATCGACTCTCTCCTCTTTCTCATTCAAGTTCTTTCTCTCTTTAACTCTTAAGGATGTTGGAGACCTCACTCAGTGGGAAAGGCAAAAGGTTTGGAGGCCAATGAGATTGCATTTGGCTTCTAGCTTTGGCCCCCCAGGCAAGTCACCCAGCCTTGCTTTGTCTCTTTATTTGGAGGTACTGGGGATCGAACCTAGAGCTTCACACACTAGACATAAACCACAGGCTCACACAGAATCCCTTAGAAGCACTAAGTGACCCCAAAGGTGTTCTGTGAGCCCCTGAGCCATAAATCAGCCATTGACAGTTGGAAAATATAGGCTGTCCATAGAGCTTTAAAGTCAAACTAGATGTAGGGACCACCGAGTCCTGCCAAGGATGGCCTCCCCTACTCCCAGGTTACTTAGTGATGGTGGATTCAGAACTGCTTGGTCCTGGTTGGGGGTTTGGTTTGTGGGGACTAGTTGACCCACGGGCTCACAGCCACCTTCTCTACTAAGAATCTCTGCCTGCCTCCCATTTTCTCCAGGGCAGGGGTAGGGTATAGAGCCACTGAGGTTGGGAGCTGGTCCACCCTTCCTCCCAACTCGGCAAATGGCTCCCTGTGAAACCAGCGGCTCTATGCTGGGACATGACAAATGACCAAAAAAATCAATTTGTAATCTGATTGGAGGTTTTTGATTTCCTCTGATGAGTTTAAATTTCATTAAAAGCAACCTTATTCCAACATAAAAAGAATCCTTGAAGGGTAAAACAGGGGATTGTCTCACCCGGTATAAAGCATTCCCCACTCTTTTGTGTGATTTATTCATGGCGTTAATTGTAAGGGCCAGCCCGCGGTGTCTGCTGGCAGCTGTGTTGTTATCAGGGCCTGGGATCGGTCCGGGCGGGCTCAAAGCACAAGGACTCACATTCAAAACTCACTCTTCGGGCATATTGACACTTCAGTTATCAACAGTCCCTTTTTTTATCTGTGGGGAGGGCGCTCCAAGCTCGTGGGGCCAGAATAAGCTAGGAATCCACGCCATGCCTCTCGGAGTTCTCCTAATTGTATGTATTCTCTGAGAAAATGATCATCGTGGCCTCTTGTCTTGATGAGAAATTGACATTTTCGGAGGACTTCTTTGGGTGCTCCGAGCAGGGGAGATAAGGGCCGGAGTTGTTTCAAAGCGGGGCGGCCTTTCTTTCCTTTCAGGGGCCTCTTTATTGCTCTCGTTGACCCACTTGATGAGTATGGATTTCACGAGGTCTTTTTCAGCATTTGAACTATAAAAGGTTCAGCACGACACCACCCCTTATAGACAAAAGATAACCTTGCCCTTTGAATATATTGATTCTTTATTAACTAGGCTGTTTAATGCAATGAAATGAGGCATTAGATTGAAGCCCATTTCAAGTGCTTTGAATAATCTTTAAAAGCTTGAAAGACCTTAAAGGGAGCCCTGACAATACTCGGCATTCGCTTTTGAGAGAATCGGTTCTTGCTTCTGGTTTGAAACCCAAGCATTTGAACTTCTCTCTGCCGAGGTCAACAGAACCTGGCACACGAGCTCCAAAAACCTGAGCAGAGTTCCTGGTCCCACCTCAAAGGTATGAAGTTGGCTTTGGGCAACACCTTCCCCAGCCCTGGTGACAGGGGACTGGCCGTCCTAAGTGTGCTTTGTGCCAATAGGAACCTATTCCTTTACTGTCTCTTTAAGGCCAGCCGGCAAAGGCTCGTCACTGACGGGAGGGAAAGGTATTCACAAGTTTCTTTATGTTTGGAATAATTGTTTCCTGTTTTGCTCAGCAGAACAAGTAATTAAGATGACATTCGTGAGTACTAATTTAGATCACACTTACGTGACTGTGTGACAGAACCGCAAGCCAAAACATGTAAAGCCTGCCTCTCATTGAGGAGAAAATGGGAAGTGCCGGTGAGATAGAATGGGGTAGCGGAGCCACACAGGGGCTGTGTGAACCAGAACTGGTGCTGATGGCTGAGATCGCTGGAGTCCCAGCTTTGGCCTCCATCTATGTGGAGCCCCCAGTGGCCAGTGCAAAACGCCTCTGTGCCCACGACACGTACCAATACTGGAATCCATTCTCTCGAGCCATCGGCCTGGCTCCCATGGGCATGCTGTCTGCCCACAGCATTGACAGGCTCTTCTGACCTGGTTCTTGCCAAAGGGGACATAGGGATACAGGTAGTGGTGAGGAGCCAGAGCAGGTGCTGTGCAGCCATGCCATTCAGAAAGCTCATTACCACGCCTCCCCCAACCACAGGACCATTTGCAGGACTCTCCCCTCCCCCGCCCCGTGGTGTTGTGGCCCAAGTGGTTGTGACAGAAACAGTCCAGGCCTGAGTGTGTGGGCATCACAGCCACTGTAGGAATTGTGCCCATTGAGGGTTGAAAACTCTGGAAGGTTCTTCGAAGTCCTTTGGATCTTGGTGAGCCCTAGCTCTGGGGCCCAGGATGTGGAAATGAAATCCCCAATTCATTTGTCAGTCATTTTAATAGGCAAACAGATAAAATTACCAAAAGTGAAATTCACAGACAAGAAATACTTTAATTAAATATTGTGTAAAATGAACATTTTTATACAGTTAAATATCTGAAAAAATGTACAGATAAAACAATCTTATTGTAGGGTCTCTGACAGCAAAATCTACCATTTAGTGAAGCTCTCGTTTTTTGACACAATGAAGCAATGAGGGCACCGACTAGTCGGCCTACAACACAAACCGGGTGCGGGCATGAGGATACTTGCTAATGTGCGCGTGAGTTCTTTTTAGGTCAAACCCTTACTTATACAAAATAAATCGAGGCAATTTAGTTCCAAAGTGACTTCTCAGGCTGTTCCATGTAGCTACACCCTGTCAGGAGTCACAAAGCCAGAGTGTGACCCACTGACCACTGGGGACATTGTCTTATTGAGTCCCTTGAATGGACACTTTCTAAGTTATACATTGTTTCCTTGTGTGTGTGTGTGTGTCTGATGTTGGAAAATTCCCTCCTTTTTGTTTTTAATATGACTTCTGCTGCTGCTTACAAAGTGTGTGCTCTCTGCAAGGGCAATGGGTGTGAAAGAAAAAGAAAAAGTAATTCTGACTCTTGGTCTCACGGTGGATTTGGCACTAACAGGCACAGTGTCTGAAGGAGGTCTTTCCAGTTAAGAAAGTACAGACTGTGCTGTTGGATCTGACCACAAACAGGTATTTTTTAAAATAAAAAAAGACCAGCCGTGTTCCCATGACACTTCTCTAACATCGGGGTGAGCGTGAGTGGTCAAAAGCAGCAGACAGATGCAGGAAGGAGTGACTGACGGACTGAAAGTTTGTGCTTTTGGGGTGTTTGTGTGTGTGTGTGTGTGCGTGTGCGTATGGTGTGTGGTTTGTGTTTGTGTGTGTGTATGTATGTGTGTGTACTGTGTGCATGTGTGTGTTGTATGTGCATGTTGTATGTGTGTGTCCTGTGTGTTTGTATGTGCATGTGTGTGTGTGTTGTACGTGTGTTCATGTGTGTGTTCATCATCAGTCTCCAAATGTTAACGATCGTGGTATAACAGAGGTTCTTTGAAGTTCACTTTTAAGGCATCAGAGGAAGTTAATGTGGCAAACATTTGTAATTAAAACATCAGAAGTAAATTTTATTTTAAACTTTAGGCCTCTGAATTTTTCCAGTAAACACAGTTCAGCTATGTGGCAAAGTCCTAGGTGGCAGCTAAAATGACTGTTTTTTTTTTTTTTTTACATTCTACAAAAAAAAAAAAAAAAAACAATTAAAAATAAAAACTAAACTAAGGAGCCAGCCCGGACGGTGTGGCCCCTTCACGGTCGCCCCACATGCACAGGATCTACTAGGATTTTCCGCGGCCGCTGACACCGTCTGCTTCTGACTATACAACAAACTTTTCTTTTCAAAAGTATTTGTTCAGATAACTTAAAAATAATATAAAAATAAACAATGAATTTGACTTTTCCTCAACATAAAAAAAGGGATGGAAAGTCCAAACAATAGCGAATGGTTTAGGTACAAAGGAAATGGAAGGACATGGACTCTTTTAACAAAACAGATCAGAGAGACAGTTCTTGGTGTCTGTTCTTTCCCTGTGTGACAGACAGCACTGGGCGGGATCAAACACCAATACAGACGTGAGAAAAGAAGGCGGGGAAAGCAATGTACAAAATTTCAAAGATAAATACAATATTTATAATTGATATGTTACAAAATAAAGTCCCTTAGCAATTGCAAGTGTTCATGGGAAAGGAAGTGTCACATGAAAGAGCATTTTATCCCTTATAAGACGCATAAGGAATAAAACTCGTTTTTCTAAATATTTTAAGTGGATCTGAAAAAAATTCAAGACAAGTGTATAAATATTTAGCTACAACTTTGGCAAAATCACAAAAGTCTACAATTTTATAACCACATACAAAACACATCGGGGAAGAAGGGTCTAGAAGTCAAAAGGACAATTTCATGTACAAGAAACATAGACCTCACAGTAGCCTAAGAATGCAATAGGTTTACAGTGCGCAAAAGTTGAAAAAATGTTGCCGATCGCACTTGCTTTAACAGGAAGCTCTAGGTGGGAGAATATTGGAACCAACAGACAGTAGCATATTTTTTTTTCTCTGTCAGTGTGCTTGTTGAAGGCAAGAGATTCGATATCAAAGTTACAATTTCTAACTACAATAAGTTACAAAGTTTCATTTCATTAAGATGAAGTTAAGCAATGATAAACCCTCCCTCCCTCCCTCCCCGCCACCCCGAAATTCACCTAGTCATATCCTCCTCTGTTCCAGTTAATGGCTCATACCTCCTTGGCCCCCTTTTTTTCACCACAAAAAAATATTTCACATTATAGAGATACACAACCATTGTGAATCTAAATATGAGTACAGAAAAATGTTTCGAGGCTTTTCTTCCTCAGTGTTGCATGGGCATCAAAATGGTGCATATTCACGAAGCTTCTCCCCACACAGATAGCACGCACTAGACAGCCAAGACGGAATCAGAAACTTTATACAAAATAGGCGTCGCTTTGTTTTCCTTAATCTTCAGGACTGAGAAATGTGAAAATATGAGAAAAGTTCAGTCAATAAAATGGAATTGTTCATGAAGAAGTAGGCTTTGTTCGCGTGTTGGTTCTTAACAGTTTAAATAAAATCTTTAAATGTCTTTTGTAGCATTCAACCGCTGCTGATGTTTAGTTTTGAAGGTATCGTTTCCATCAGCATGTCTTAGCACACTACATGTGTCCCCTGAAGTCCGTCCTTGGATGCTGGGTGCTGTGAAGGTAAACAGAGTCCCTCACATGGGCGGGACTACCAACCCAGACATAGCTGCAAAAGAGAAGGAGAGAGCGGTTAATGCCAACCACCCCGCACGCGCACCCTCCTGCGGGCCCAGCTCGCTCCTCCTGGGCCAGGATCCACAGGGAAGCCAGCCTCTGGCAACTCTCTGTATAGCCAGCTTTGCTCATGGCAGAGGTGTGTTGGGAAGTCTACTTCTTGGGGTGAGGGCACACTGGTGGCAGGGTTCCCGCCAGCCTTTCCGGTGCTGCTGCCCTCTGTTAAGGCTTTCTCTGAGAGGGACCACTCTCTGCTTTGCGTATGTCGCCAAAGCAAAGGGAAGCTCACTCTCTGGAAAGACAGGAACCATCCTGGCCGTAGCTTGCAGGCCTTGCTTTTCCTAAGTGAAATTGGAGACTTGCCTCAGTTTCCCCCTCTGCCTTTGGGCCCAAGCTCTGACCTCCGACTAGCAGCTCTGTAGCGTAAAGGTGAGTCAGGCTCTCAGATCGAAGCCACACACGGCCCAACTGCTCTGGAATCTCAAGGCCACGGATTGATGGAGGTGCCACAGCATCTCAGAATGCTGTTTTCTTCTCTTCATAAGACTAGAGAAGCTTGGCACTGAAGCGCCAAGTGCAGCCAGCTCTGTAGCGAACTCCTGGTCCGAATGTAATTTAAAATCTTTTAACTCTGGTGTTGTTTAATTTTTGTCAGAATGACTGTTCTCATTAATTTATGTATAACATATTAATACATTTGTTCATGTAGTGATGTGAGCTTCAATTTCTCAGTCCATTAATTTCAACGATATTAATTTATCTCCGACTCACCGTTACAACTTTATGGTTTGGCAGGCCCCTGTGTACACACTGCTTACGTGGTACCACCTAGTCAGCCTCGACGCTGGGGCATGTCCATGGACACCTGTCCTCACTGCCTGACTCCTAAGCAGCGCTGGCCTGGTGCCCAAGGACAGCTTTGAGGCCGCTGGCGACGCCCAGGGCCTGGGCGTCCCGTCGGCACTGACAGGTGTTTTGAAGACAATGAGTTCAAATCATTGATACCTTTCCAGTTCCTTTTTTGAGCATTAGTTCATCAAAGTGGAATATACCACCGACTTCACAAAAGGGCCAGTTTGTCTTCTCCACGGTTGCGTCCTCGGCACCCAGCAGAGAGCCTGGCACATAGTAGGCACTCAGTAAATACTGGTTGAAGGGGTTCATGTGTCTAAAGGAGAATGGGCTTGACTTTCACCCAGTGGAGCACATACCCAAGGTGGTGTCGGATAGAGGCCAGGTGACGGCCACCACTTACTTCAAGTAAGTGTGGCCCTGTGCATCACAGGGAGTCACGGGTGAGCCCGAAAGCCTAGGGGCACCCATATGGCTTCACCACCACACTCATTGGAGGTCACATGCAGCGTGAGCTGCCCTCGGTGCTGGGAAAGGTACTCCGTGTCTGTTCCACATGGCCCAACTGTGGACAGCTGTGTCCAAGTGGGGACTCTCATGCCCTCGGGCCAACCCTTCCCACTCTGAACTGAGAGTGAACACTCACTCCCAACCACAGACAGTCTTGCCACCCAGCAATGGTACACAAATGGCCCTGGGTCAGGATGCTCAGCCCTTTCCAGGAGAGAGCAAAGCCATATAGACTTGTTGTCCCAGTGGTAAGGTTGTAGATAAAGCTCTGCCTTATGGCAAGGGGAGCTGGCAGGTCTGGGATGGGCACCTTAGACGGCACGGTGACCTGTCATCTGTTTGAGACTATTTCTCCTGCCCCTTTAATAAGGAGGCAGCAAGCTTGGCACTAAGGGCAGGGTCATGCCCTTCATGGAGACAGGCCAGGCCTGGGTACTCTGTTTCATGGGGTTCTGCTCTGCTGTAGTCTTGTTCCCCCTCAAGGGAGGCTCCACCCCTTGGGGCACAGAAGTGCTACTAGACAAAACCTAGAGGCAGAATCTGGTACAAGTTGGGGACTTGAGGACCGGGCCTATAGGTGACTGTGGGACAGGAAGGAGGATGCCAACCAGTGAAGCACATGCAATGCCACAGGCATGCAAGGGGCTTGGGAAGGGGCCATGGGGTCCGAGCACCCACCCACACCGCCCTCACCTTGCAGTCCGTTCCCGTTGGCGCTGGTGCAGGAAGGAGGAGGCGAGGCTTGGGGCCGGACCACGGGCGCAAAAGCGCTCTTCTGTTTCACTGCGGAGATGACATTGGCAGGTGAGAATGAGAAAATGCCGTGTGTGCTGCTACAGTTTGAAGGGAGGGTGACCGAAGAGGCTGCCATGGTGGGGCTGGACGGCACTACTGCAACAAAGCAAACACGGTCAGCACGCGCGGGCTGTGGCGCAGCACCACAGCGAGAGCTCTGAGGGCCTCGCCTCGCACGGGGAGGGGCCACAAAACAAGACATGACATGCTTCGGCTCGGCCACTCTGGATAACAGGCAAACGCTTTGGGGTGGGGGGTCGGGCTTTGCTCTTCCAATTGAGCAGCCTCGGGTGGTTCAGATTTTATTCTGGTGGCCAATGGGATGGCGTTGTTGGGGAGGGCTGTATTAGGTCAATTTGTGGTTGTCATTTGGACGCCCAGCCTCTGGGGCCACCCTTCCTTTTATCCAGTAGCTCACATCACAGAACATCCAAGCAATACACACACTCGACTTTGTAGTGAATATGAATCTGTGTGATGACGTGTGACAAAAACAGACACTTACTGCCGTAGGGAGAGTTAGCGGAGGAGCCATTAAGAAATCCAGGCGAGCCAGGGACCCCTAGATTGGCCATGGCGCCACTTCCATATCCATTCATGCTAGTGCTGACTGTGTTGTAATTGGACTGCTGGGGAGTACTGCTGGGGACGTAGCCTCGCGGGGACACGCTGCTTGTATTGCGACTGTAGCCGACTGTTAAAATCCCCCCCCGGCCAAAAATAACATTATTATCAGTGACAGACACTTGGGGGGGGAGTTTCCCCGAGAATCTATATCATATATTCAACATTTTTAATTGACTTTATGCTTCCTCTCGTCCTGGTGACTCTAGCCAGCTCGGATAATCTTATCATGCCAATCCTACCACTGGTGAGACCTGTTCCATCTATGTTGGCGTCGACGGACGGCATTTCATGTCTAACCTTTAGCTGTTTCCACACACTGCTTTAGAAGCAATTGTCAACAGCTTGGATTCCTGACCTGCTACCCGACTCTCTCTCAACTTTCAGCCTCAACAGACCTTCAAATGCCATGGCTGACAAAGAGAGCTTGTTTGTGGCCATAACTTCCCTGGAAAGACTGTTTTAGGGGTCTTCATTTTCAGAGCTGCTGTCTCTGTGAGCGAGGGTGGGGTGGGCGCCATAGCTCCTGGCCTGCTGTGGAATGTGGGTAACTGGAAACAAAGCCAGCGGTGCAGTGGGGTGGCTCTGAGGTGGCTGCCTGAGATGCTTTTATAGATGATGTGCACTAAACTGAGCTCCAAGGACGCCAGATTGTGACCTCAACAGTCCTGGTCGCTGTTCTATAGGATAAGGTACACCATGAGGGAAAATGGATGTTCTTATCCATGGATCCAGACCAGGATGGGAACCCAAATACCGCCCATGACACATCCAAGAAGGCTCCTCCTGGCTTCCTACAGCTGCCCTATGGCTCTGCCCATTCTTGCCAAAGAACACAGGGTCACTTACAAATAAGCTAAGGGACACTTCTAGCAATACCAGGGAGCTGGGTGGCAGCCGATGGAGCTACTGTCACTAGGACTGGGCCCTCTGAGTGTTCTCTGCCCAGTACAGCTGGAAGATGTGCGGCAAGGTTTTCCCTGCAAGAAGGAACCAGCCATGCCTAAGGGCATGGAATGCGACCAGCACTCCCCAGCTGGGTCCCAACACCTCCACCTGCAGCTATGGCCTCAACCCACCCTGGGGAGGGGGCCAGGGAAGGGTCCACCTGGCACAGCGGCCTACCTTGGTCATTGGCTTGTGAGGTCTCTGACACATTAACCGCGAGCTGGCTGCTGAAGGAGTTCACGCCCATCATGCCAGTGTGTGCCGGTGTGTTGCCCAATGTGGGAATCTGGTTGTGATTGCGGGGAACGCTGTACAATGCCTCAGCGATGTCAGCCGCTCTCTTCAGGATGATCTCCTAGAGAAATAGCAATGCAAGTATAAACCGAAGATGTCATTCAAGGCCAGGTTCCGATGGCCAGATCCCACGTATCGTGGGCCTGTCCACTTGGTGGGGCAAGCAACAACTGCACAGATGCTTCTAAGTGGCTACATCTTGTCCTTAGATCTGTAGCTCCAAGCCCTGGGACAGGCAAAAAGCTGCAGACTCAGAATTAAAGAACTGGGCCACCTCCAGAGGAAATGAGTATCTCTTCCCTGGGGCCTCGTGACCTGCAAGAACAAGCTATGGGATGCCCACAGGCCCTCCTGGAGCCCCAGGAATACCTAACGCTCCTCACTCGCCACTGAACACTGTAGGACTTCAAAGATACCCCCCTTTCGGTGGACCACCCTCCTCTACTTGTCTTTCTCTACATGAATACTTCATGTGAGGCCTGGCTATGGAGCTACCGTAGGGTACGTGCGTGCCTAGGAGACCCACGGTGCCCGTCTGAACTGCGAATGCTAGGGTAGAGGGAAGGAGTAGACAAGTGGAGCCAGGATCCACCTACCTGGTTGTTGTGAGGCATCCCGTACAAGGCTTCCACAAGGTCTGCTGCCCTCTTCAGCAACACTTCCTACAGGGAAGCACACGGGGTCTTACTGGAGGAACGGCAAACGCAGAGCATAACACAGCCTCCAGGGACCCTCTCCCACC